TAATTATAAAAATTAAGAATTTTATTTAATATCTTATTATAAAAGTAAATAAAAAAAATAAATTATTTATTTAAAAGTTTAAAATAAATAATAATCTATTTACTAAAAATAAAAATAGAATTGTATATTATTAAAATTTTATATAAATCTTTTAAAAACTATAGTATATAATTATTTAGAAATACTATAACAATTTAATACGAGAATACTTTAGAATTGAAAAAATATTAAAATAAATTACCAGGAATTACTATTTTCTAAATATAATAAAATAAATTAAAAAATATATTAAAAAATATAAAATATATATTAAAAATAAACCAGCGAAATATAAATTATATAAATTTATATAATTATTTAATATATTTTTAAAATTTTGGAAATAAATTACAATTAATTTTATAAGATTACCATCTAAATTAGAAAAATAGAATATAATAATAATAATAATAAATTAATTTACTAAATATATTTATTCAATATTAAGTAAATTAATACTCAATATAGTATATATTACGCCCGGGACTTCGTCGTCAAGTCTGCGACCAGTTAGCGGACCACGTTTCGAGGATTACTAACCTGAAGTCGATCTCCGACTGCCGTCGTCACAGGGATGCAGTCGACACTAGACTACTGTTATCACAGGGATACAGTCGATATAAGACTACCGTCGATACTAGACTTAAGTCTAAAGGGCTAGGCCTACTAAGTATATATATTTAATAGTTAAAAGAATATAAACAAATTAAAATTAATTGTGCTACTAAAGGTAACTTTATAGTAATAATTTAAATTAATTATAAAGAACTAAACTAAGTATATAAATAAATATTTTTATATATTCTTAAATATCTATTTCTATTATAATTCCTTTAAAAATAAAAGATAAAGTATATCTAATCGTAGCGCGTAGTACTGTATACTCTCGATATACTCTCTTTAAAATAGATACTAAAATAAATATTATATAATAAAGCTATTATCAGTGTCTATAACCCTTCTCGAATAACTACTAAATAAACAATTTATTAGATACCTTCCACTTAGGAATCGGCTATCGTTATTCTATTATTATTCTGCCTTGTGTATCCGCCTTTGATAAGGTGCGCTAGACAAGGGTCTGTAGCAATGGCACTTAAAGTGCGACAAGGGTGAGGCAGGAAACGATTTCATCACATATAAAAGCAAAGAAAAGGACCAATGAAGAAGAACGCACATTGAAATACGCAAATATTGAGGAGCATGTATGAACTTAGTGGGAGGTTATTATTATGTAGATACCGCGAAAACGCAGTCTGTTGCGCATCCTGTGACGCGCTTGAGATAGTGATAAGACTGATAACATGCATATCCTTGTCATTGATTGGCCATGCTGGAGCGGCGCAGGAGGCTAATCACCTAGCCCAATCAAATCAGGTTTTAGCCGATCAAGGCACGCATCAATATCTAGTCGTTGCTTGGCGGACAGAATGGACACTGCCAGAGCCGGTCTTATAAGAGGAAGTATTGTAGGACACTTGATGATTCTCTCGAACTCACATCGCTATTCGCTTCCCATAATGTTTGAATACCCCCAATTTCCTCTCTACTACAGCGCTTCTGAACCAGGTCCAGGCGATGAGTTGCTGGATTACTCTCAACTTGACCCTCGGGAACCGTTAGAGTCCCAGAGTCATTCTGCTATAACTCTAGATACACTGGTGTCTAAGCCCGCCACCGGTCAGGTTGACACTGTATCCGTATCCCACCAGAGCTCTCCTGGACATCTGCCAGGTGAAGTATCCAGCTCCAAGGAGGAAAGGTTAGTACGGGCCACTGTGAAGCACAAAACTCCGTATGACTGACTCTTGGGATTTCAGAACTGCGCGCTCAAACAAGGCCACAGAGTCAGTGCTTACCATCTAATTACCTAGTGTCGTCCAGTCCAATGATACGTGACAAATAGTGTTTTGATCTTGCGGCTGGCAGCTGAAATGAAGGACGAGTTGGGGAACATGGAACGGAGGCTCAGTAGTCTGGAAAGGAGGACTGACAGTCTAGCTGACTTAGTGAACAGCCTTTCCGACCTCCCCAGCCGTGTCGATCACCGTATTGATAATCTCTCAGATACGGTTAATAAAGAGAGCCAGCGGATTAGCAAGATAGTTAAAACGGTTGACTTTATAACGCGGCGCTTTGGACCTCTTCTTGCTCGTCTAGCTAGGAGGCCGGGTAGCAGCTGGCCTGTGTCTTCCCGCGAAACATCAACACAGGCTAGAGAAGAAGGAGTTCATACAAGGGTATCAAGGTCAGAACACTTGACTGCGGAAAGGGGTTCACTGTTTACTTCTCCCGAGGAAGAAGAGTAGGACATAATTGAAAGAAAAAGAGAATAATACACATTTTCATACGGGTTCAGTTTGATTCCGTCTTTATCCAGAGTTAGGCGTGTTTCCAATCAAGCCACTGGCGAATTCGGGTTTGTGTAAACGGCAGACTTTGGATATAGCAAAGCCCTGTAATTTATTATGCAAGTCATATCGTGTATTTCAGAATAAAATTCACTCTCAGAATTCGAGATCATTCTACGGTTGGGGTACCCTGTACGCGGCATGCGCATTGGGCCTCTCTCATTCCCCTGTCATATTGCCGACGATCCTTGACACTTAATGTAAAGAGTGTATTTAAACGCAACAACGTATTATGGAAATATAACCAGCAGACAAGTCTTCCCTGCTATAAAAAAAAGAGACATTGGACCGTCCTCAAACCCACGCTTTTCTGAAGACCACAGCCCTTCCCCCTCAAGAGGAGGCCATCTCAGTACTATGGATAGTAATGGAACATATTCGTCGGTGGAGCTCTTGCCTCCGCAAGCCAACTTTCCAGCGGTATGTTACCCAAATGTCGTCCAAGGACTCTCTCCTGATTGGTGATATTAGAATCTCCCAGCTCAAACAGCCGGCAAAAACGACGTCTTAAAGCTTTCTAGGGACTTTCTAGCATCTGAACAAGTGTCAAGGAATTATCAGTGGCAGCTAGAATGCCGTCTTAATGAGGAGAGCACCAGGCTTCGCCAGGAGCACCATCGCTGTGTACAGTTGGAAGAACGACTTTCAACCTTACAGTGGGCCAAGAATGAATTGGAAATTTCCATCCGACGTTATGCGGACGATTCTGAACTCCTTCGACAAGAATTGGCTTCAGAAAGGAAGAAGTCACAGGATTTGGAATATCGCCTGACGGCTCTCTTCTCTGCTAATGATACGCTTGTCAGGTCGATGACCGATGCCAGTCTCCCGGCCAAAGGTTCCCCTTATAGGCAGCCTGACACTGATAAGATAGTCCTTGAGAACATGAGACTACAGGAACAGGTCGGGCAGCTGAAAGCGGCAAACCGGTTTCACGAAGACACGATCAAGGCACTCCGAACAGCTTTGCGGGCGTTCCATGATACCCATTCTTCTTCCTCCAGCAGTGACAGATCGTCAACTGTGGCTGGACCCACAGCAAATCTGATTGAGGCTTCTACCGCAATACAGACCGATTACGCCGTTGAGACACTGCTTCGAAATCCTCATAATCCTCAAAATTCTCAAGAAACCACCACACACGGAGGCATCTGGTACGAAGAGGATGGGCCTTAATACGGAGGGTTGTTCTATCATCATGTGACTTTTTTGGGTTCTTAGCAGTTTTGATATAGGTTCCGAGAGCAATAATGCATAACTGATTTGCCGTTGTCAAACTCTGGCACTCGAAGATCATCTTTTACCTCGTAAGATTCGGATGCAACCAACAAACACTACGTCATTTGCCCTAGCAGTGTAATTTTGGTCAGGTAACGTACGTGACCTGCTTGCGACTACTAATTAAATCGGGAAGTCGTCCGTTCCATACCCAAGCTCAAGCTGATCAAAAGCCCGGTGGATTTGCTTGGCCTAACTTCTCTTCTTCTGCTGAAGTCATGGATCATCAACGCCATTATCTCTACTCAATCGCCGAGGAGATTACACCGCAGGATCATGAGATTCTCCTCCACGGTGGTACATCTTCCAATATTGAACGACTTCCCTCGCGCCTCCAAATCAAAAAGACGCAACCTCCGAGGAGTATGAAGAAGCAGATTGAGGATCTGGCTTATGAAGTCAGTTACCTGAAGGCTGAGTTAGCATGGCATGCGGAGTCAAAACGCGCACTGCTTCAGCTCCAGGAGCAAATGTACCACTTATTCTACAAGATGGAAGACGCTTTAGTGAAAGTCAACACTCGCCTTCAGGAGGCCGAACAGCGTTACTTGAGTCTTTGGGGTATCAAGGGACGCGTGGGGTCAGAAGAGGAGATGATATGAAGAGTCTCACATCATGTCATGTCATATGGGGTACGGTCGAGAACGGATGGAAGTAATGCGATGGTCCTTTTCTCTATGATTACCTAGAGTGAGACCTAATGTCCAAGGGTTTGCTGTAGCATAAAAAATAGTCTTGCATTCAACAAAGAGTCTCGTTGACCCCTGGGCATAGCAAATTTTCTGCCTCTGCCAGGGTGCGATTAGCTTTTTGTTTGCTCAGTGTCACTCCCCACAATGTCTAGGAATACCTTTAACTTGAAACTATCGTCAAGATACATCCCACGAAGTTACAAACATGGCAATGTTAGTCGGACGGCGGTCGTAGCATTGAATTGTGAGTTCAACTACTGGCCTCCTGGAGCGCAGGAACTTCGAGCGGAGTTTGCGATACAATCGCTTGTAGGCCATACTAAGTCTCTCAGAGATATAATTGTCACCAATTGCTTTTGGATGACGCTTGCGTGGGCTTTGCATCTTAGACGTACAGGACCAAGTCTCTATTAGCAGACCTAGGCGCACTGTCTATGACCGTTCTTGCGATGGATGCTCTGGAACCCAGTGAATGCAACCACTAGACCTTTCACTTTTCCGCCTCTTTTTGTTCACTGAGAGCAGTTGCCCAACTTGATAGTGTGTGTGATGGCATGGTGGCAACGCACAGATTCAATGCCACAAGAAGTCGTCTGCCATAACTAAACAGTTCACACATTGCTAGCTGTAAATTACGGGTCTAATAGACAGACTGCCCGCTTCGCCTATTGTCGGTATTACCACTGGGTGCCGGTTAAGATTTCTTGGGCGATCAATCTGGAGGGTCTACAGAACAGCATTAGTCACAGGTCGGGTAATATTACGGTATTTCAGATTTAATACTCTTGGGGGGTTGGGCAGGGGGGAATGGGGGGCAAAGAGATTTTCCACTTTACTTGGAACACGTAAAAATGCAGATTACCAACAAAGCCCTAGTGAAGTAAGTCTAGTAAATGTTATTAAACAACTGAACGGACAGGCTTCATTGTGGTACATTACCACAGTAAGTGAATTAAAAAAACAGGACTAGTATTGACGATGTACAACGTACTCTATTTCATGACACAAACATGAATTGGTGTTTTCTAAGTAACCCGCCTGGCCCACCATTGCTACGGTGGACAAGGACTCCCAAAATCTAGAGCTTCACTACGTGCTACAACACCGTCTATTGTGTTTTTGGCGCTTTATTGAAAAGGATCAGTGGCTGCTCACTTATATTATTATTATCTATTTTTTTATACACTATAACCATGAAAGCATTCGTTATTGTAATAATAGCTGCTGGCCTAGCCATCGCGAGAGACTTCTCGAAGTCGTGCGATAATACCACCCTTAAGGATTCACACTACCTTGTCGCAGAATGCCACCGAAGGAACTCTTCCACCCAACTTTCAAAGCTAGATCTAAACTCTTGCTATAGCAATAACGGTTCTACCCTTAAAGCAGAGCCAAGGTTCAGCCATTGATATCGATGCAAAATTGCAGTAGCTAAAAGCTGATAGCGGAGGGGCATTCTCAGACCCTTTCTTTAGACGCTGTTCTGTAGTGGGCTCGCACCTATTATATCTACAAACAGTGAAGGGTCGCAAAGACACCAAATCTACTCGAATTTTCCATGATATGGGTAAGTTAACTATTATCGCGAATGTATAGGCAAATCCTGACTATTTTAAATAAAGATATCTACAATCAAGATAGGACTTTGGATTATTTTGAAACATTGGGTGAAGTTATATAAAAGGAAAGATGAGGTTCCAGCTCTGCTGGTTGATAATATAGGCGAACTATGCACATTTTGCCCAGAAAGCCGAAATAGTCTCGAAGAGAAAGAGTTAATGGTAGGAGTCGTACGGTGGACTATGCATCGAAGTCATTTACTTGTAGGATAGCTTAGGTACTACTTAGATAGCTTTTTACCCTGATGCTGGTCATGCTGCAATATTACCAGCGCCTGATTTATATTACGAACACGCTGACGAGCCACAGTCTGAAGGTCATCCCCTGCATTGCAGAGATCAAATTAGACCAAAGACTATATCAAGCTCTTGGGGACCTTCTTAAAATCCTTCATACACAGCAATAGGAGATTGCTCCTGAGCTTCGTTTTATCCTACCAAATAATACAATCATAATAATCGCACCCGCCTCCTCGACTATAGATATAGTTCCTTAAAGGCGGGTTATTTTTACTACATATCAAATACTAGCCCTCCAATAGATATATAATATGGATAGAGAATTGTAACACAGCTATTGTTATACCAGTCCTTTAACTTAAACAGTCTACCAGGCCATACACCAAGTATCTTATGATTTCGTCTATATAAACAATTTGTGATTCAGAGTTCAGGTGGGCATTAGTTTAGGATTCTAACCTTATCGTGGTAGGATACCTACAGAATTGCAAAAATAGACTGCTATTATATATAGCGTAGCGACATTATAACATCCCTGGGCATACATATATTCGAAGCCGTGCCCTTGCAAGAATTTAGTAACCACCATAAGATAGTCCTTGTCGAAACCTACGCTGTAGGCGTCACATTTAATTATAGGCTTTCGCTTTATCAGTCTCTTACTTACATTAGAAATATGGAACGTACCTTTTCTACTGCAAGAATATTCAGATTTAGTACATAATTCAAAACTTTCAGCAGGCATATCATTTCCAGTTCAAGACCCTTTTAGGAAATATGCGTGAGTTTGTGTAGGTGATAATTGTGCACAAAATGTGGCCTTCATACAGGATTTTGCTGGTAGGCAATGTGTTGTATTAATACTAGCTGTCGCAGCTGCTTATTACAGGACTTGGCATCCTTAGGAACCTGTTACCCATTCGATAGAAGATAAATTACTGTTTCATATACCTTATTCTCCGGTGTTCAAATGGTATATTTCATCAATATTCAGCTTGTGGTGCCTTGCCCGTGTATTTCCGCGTTAATTTTGACATATCAAAACAGCGCCACCCTATTATCAGGTTGTATTTCACTGTATTGAAGTTCCAACAGGAGGTTAAATGCTATATTCTGGACACTAGACCCCCTCTCTGCCTGTTAGTCGGTATATGATAGACGGTTCTTCATATTCACTTCAGCCATTGCATAGATAGCAGTACTCAAGAGATATACTACAGCCAGGTAATAGAGCACTATTCGGGACTTTCTTCATTACCTTCATCTATCAAATAAGCTGTCAGGTAAGTAGGTAGTCATCTAATATAAACAGATTACTAAGATGTCAGGCTATTTTTAAACCAATAGAGGTGAGGATATAAGATAGCCCTAATTATACGGGAAGACCTTCTTCAACCATTATTGATTCTACAAATCTAGCCAAAAACATTTTAATCTACTACCGGCCACTCAATTTTCAGCTTAAACAACCACTGCAGGGCCAAAAGCAATTTAATCTTTTAATCACCCTAAAACTCGATAAGTTTCTTCCAAGGCAAAACAGTAACTCATTATACGCTGAGTTTCTTAAAAGCTACACTACTCAAAATAGAACTATAGACTATCACAACACACGTGTATTCACTTATCACAGACTCTGACTCAATCCAGGATTATAATAATAGCCACCATTTATATATATCCAAATGTGGTTGCGGAAGCAGTAACAAGGAACCAGCTAAGGCGCCATTAGATTCCTACTCCTCTGCTATATATTCTCTGAGTTATAGATTCTACTTGGTCACCAACTCATTAAAAAGCTGTGAGACCTAAAAAAAAATACATCAATGAAACCCATTTGCCTGAATATCATTCCAATATAGAGATAGAGGACTTAAGTCACCATTATTATTAGGGTCAACATTAGGGTCAACATTAGGGTCAACATTAGGGTCAACATTAGGGTCAACATTAGGGTCAACATTAGGGTCAACATTAGGGT